TGCTATACCCAGGATGATGGAGTTAGAAGAGGACTGGAAAAAAACACTACAAGTCTGCCTCATTCAGAGTTAGTGGATTTTACATTTGACACTAAATCTACGCTCTGCTAAACAATATGTATGGAAATGTTGTATATGATCTTTTTTATTTAAGGGGTTAAAATGAGCATTTTAAACTATTTCCTTAACTTTCCCAGAAAATAAAATAACCCCTGAAGCCTGCAGTCCAGATTCCCAAACATATAATAGAGGATTTATGTTTATGTTATAGATGTACTTAATATATATAAACACAAATGAAAATTATATTTTACACTTGTCTTTCAGTCTGATGTTTATAAGCTATTTAATGTCCCAACAATAGGAACTTTTAGCTATATAGTTCCAGTTATACAATATCAAAGTCATGCAGCATGGCAATTAATAAGTGCATTGTTATTGCAGAGGAGCAAAAAGTCTCAATATTTATCACTTCAATAGGAAATAAGATGTCTCTTTATCTGGTGTGTATAGTTCATCCAGCTCAGCACCATGCTGTTGTGCAACAATTTATAGAAAAAATACAAAGATTTGCATTGCTGTATACAAATTGGGGGGGGGGCTAGTTCTAATGAAGGGGGTTATACACAGAACGTTTATGTTTCACTTAAAAAAAATAGAACTAACATTTTCATTGTTAACCCCTTTTAGTTAACAGCAGCCATCAAACCGTGCAGTAATTATCAATAAACGTTACAACGGGTCGAACTGTAAGTTCTGTAGTTCAGTACATTGTAAGTGAAGAAAATCAGTGTCATCGTGATAAATTGCAATACTGCTCACCAATTTTAGCACACCATCATAGTGAATATGCTTACCCCGTGCTAGCAGACAAGTATAAACCAAAGTGATGGCTTTAAGCATTTTATACAAATAAATCAGCAGATAAAGTTGTTAATAATAAAAAGATGTAAATGTGAACGCTGCTTATGAACACTGTTGAGGTAAGAATAGCTAAAAAGGCCACTGGAAATTGTTTTATCAGCTTGTGTTCATTGTGTATTACAAAGTAATCAGTAAACAAATTATCACATTCACTTCGCACAAACTTCATCTTCAAATACACGAAAAAAGCCAAACTGCAATGATACATATGAATGAACCTACCAGTCAAACGTTTTCTGTCTTTACAAACCTCCTTCTGATCATGGCTACCTTAAACTACTTAGTTCCTATTATGTAATCATCTTCTTGCAAAGAGGAACCGCAGCGGATTAGTGTGGAGGAAATATTTCAGTGTTTAAGAACCCCCTTTTTTTTTTTTTTAACCAGCAAAAAAAGAAACTGCAAGGTGTGAGGTTTTGGCTTTAATTTCCCCAAAATCGTGGGATGCTTGTGCCATTAATTCGAAGCAGCAAGCATCAACACTTTTCTTTCTGTAGCCTGTAGTAGGTGGATAGATGATTAACTAGACTGGGAACCCTAAGCAGAGATCACTCAGGTCCCCCTGTAATAGAAACGATCCAGACAT